ATTTCAGTAAAAATAACCAAATCAAAAACTCCATTTTCAAGTTGCCGCGAAAACGTTTCTCTGGACAATATGGCGTCTTGCTAATGTGTGACGTCATACGACTGTTATTAAACGATACAATGTAATGTCACTTTACCCGGAAGTTTACCTGCGTGTGACGTCATTTTAGGCTCCGCCAATCCCTAGCGTTTTGGGTCACGTGACAATAGATAAGAAAACTAATGTCTTTTTCGAGTAAAAATATGATTTTTTTTTGTAAAAATAGTAAAAACCCCTGCCAATATTCAATCTAAACACAGATGTTAACAATTGGCACTTTATTTTCAATACTGTCAAATACCCTATTTCGTGCTGCCGATCGTGTAGTTTGTCTTCGGGATTTCAGAATACTTTGTAAAATACTTCTGTACAGTATGTAGCATAATAATTTTATAAATGGTTTTGTTTGAATATTATTGTTATTTTGAATAGCGCCATCTATCTTCGTACACATAAATCATCGAATATAGTTGTTTATTTAAAGAAAGCATACGAAGTTAAAAGAAACTGATAGATGTGTTTGGGAAGTGAGGTAGATGGGGTTAGTGTATAATTTCTGTCGATTAATTTGCAAGATTGGATGTGACGTAGCAATGAACATTCTGGATGAGTTTCGATAGGCGTGGTCTGTTTAACTGGTTTTGGTGATTTCGCGCTCCTTATAAGGAAATAGAAGCGCAATCCCCAAGCCAGTTAACACGTGACCATATACCACTATAAATAGCTGTGAGCAGCCGAATTAGTTCTCTCTTTTGTCTGCTGATCGAACTCTGGAACATTCAGTTAACTGCACGAGTGACTGTTCATAAGCAAGTTATAGTCAGTGCATTATTAATTTATAAACTTTCCCCGGATTAACGGGTAAGTCCAATATACTTAATTAGTTAGGTTGTAGGTCAATTTAGGCTTTTAATTGAACTATAGGAAGTGTGTGTAATTATTTCTAGGTCCTTTGAGGAGGCTAATAAAATCACTATACAAAAATCAATTGATTAGATCTGCTTGGAATTTCTTTGGATATATAAAGAAGTACGCTATATGAAATTGAGCCTGTAAATTGAATCCTGAAAGAAAACGTGTTCATGTGGTGACAGCACGTCCTGTTCCAATTCATGTGGACCCTTGAATCAACTTGATGATACCAAGATCTTAAGAAAAAGCTAAGTAAAATCTGAATATATTTAATTCTTAATCAGTGCATTCTCCGATCATCAAAATTTCTGTATTGTACAACATAACAAAGGATTTAAATAAGTATATAGTGGTGTCGATTCTGGCATGATTCTCTAAACTTAAAACTAAATTTAAAATCTGTCTCTCCTTTTCATTCTGTATAGAGAATGATAAGGATGCACTGTTGTCAAATTTAAGTTTAGGTTTAGAGAATCAGGTCAGAATCGACACCAGTAAATTCATTAAAAAGCTAACTTGTATTTCACATCACATTGTTTGTCTGTTTGTAAAACTAAATGTTCATGTAGTACGTTAACTTAAAGATATCAACATCTAAAAATGTAATTGAGTGTATGTACTTCCTTTAATTCTTAATCCTTGATTTTGTAAAATCTAAATATATATAGGTATACTAAGATAACCATAATTAGTACTAAGAAGGTCAATGTATGTTGAAAAATTTATCTGAATATTGACAATATAGATATATATCTTGTTCACTGCGGTTATAGATTTTTATTTATCTCCTACAAATATCAGTATTTCGGCGCCCTGAGTATAAAATTTAGTCTTGAGTTTCATGCAAAAACCCCTGAGTTGGTTGGTGAGAGCGATAAATGCTACAAGTAGTGTATTCAAGTGCATATAATTTAGGTTTTAAAGGACTCGAGTCAACCTATAAACAGCCTCTCGTGTTTTAGTACCTCTTAAGACAGTCGCAAAAATTACTATTAAAATTCATTAATGTAACAGAAACACGTAAGAAAAATGTTGGTAAACTAATAGGTTAATCTTTACTTTGCAAAGCTCCACTAAAGTAATGTCAACATTATGTCACAGGGAGGCGGCAAAGTTTGTCACATCAAATATGTTTGTTCAGAAAATAACAATTTTGTTTTCAGAAATACCTACTTCCTTCTAAGCGAAAGTCTACCATAATGTTTTACAATGATTTTAAGAAAAATAAGCTTCCTGTGGATCTGGAAACAAATTAACTGACAGTACTTTTAGTAAATACTTAAATTAATTAATTACATTTGTATCAAACTTACAGTTGTTAGTGTATACGAACATAACGAAAACTACTATCAAATGAGTTATCCATGAATCCCCATAGAGGAATATTAATTACCCCTGACGTTGCATAATATTATGTTTCGTTACGTACGCGCGCTGGTTTACACCCAGACAAATCATATGCACGTGCTCAATTAACGCCAGAGCTAGGTCTGCGAACCGCTCAAAATAACTTGATCTCCCAGCTTACAAATATTTCTGTATTATTTATTTATTTCTTATTTTTCTGTATTAACTGTAAAAAGAAGAAATTGTTATGCAAATTAATGTTTTGTCTAATAGATGGCCAGCTTAGTATAATAAAATCCATTGTTTGCACACTATCCATTGCATCCATTGTTTGCATTATCACTTAGGCCTTTGATAGCAGTGTTTTGGATGTCAGGTAAGGTCCTTGATTTATATTTAAAAGCCGTACTCAGAAACGTCTAATTAATATAATGCTTCATTAAGTTACGTATTGTCTAATTCTATTGATTTTGAAAAAAATGTTACAGCATCAACTATAGTCAACTTTGAGTGCGTCCGTAAAACTGTGTTTAGATTAAATAAAACTGTGTTATCGCATTCCTGTAAAGGATGCGTAACGTCAATAAATAAATAAATTCGGTGCATATAACCCGTTAAACTGTTTTATTTAATGAGTGATGGGCGTTAAAACCTAAGAAACAAATATGTGTTTAGCTTTTAAGCCTACTTGACTGAAAACGTACCGACTTATTTTTATTCGTAGTTTTTCCACGCCACAACAAATTACTTTACCCACTCTACTTGATAGATCATACGTGAATAGATTTTGACGAAAACTGATTAAATAGAGATAAAGCCACTAGAGGTGCGCTCAACTTGCCAGTCTGAACGCAATTTATTTATACACATAAGTTTTGACATCCATAAGTCCTTTAACCGTCTTGCTAGATCCAGCATACGGGACAGCGCTACACGCGTAAAAAAATGTAGATTCAGAGTCTCTTTTACGTGTTTAGCGCTGTCTCGCATGCTGGATCCAGCAAGACAGAAGGTCTAATGACTTTACTCACTGTTAAACATGGTGTACCTTGCGAAAGTATGTTTGCCTGTCTGTTACCTTTTCGAGCGTAAACCGCTTAACAGTGTTATTATTCTGTTGTCTTATGAAAGGAAAAAGTTACTTCTTCTAACGTGCACTCCAATTCAGACGACAGATCCTCTGTGTTTCTAGATCCATACTAATATTATAAATGTGAAAGTGTATCTGCCTGTTCGCGTTGAAACTGCTACACCTATTTAGATTAAATTTGATATAGAGATAGTTTGAGTTTCCGGAAAGTGGAAATAATAGTTTTCATCTCAGAAATCATCCGTTAAGGGGGTGAAATGGGGAGGTGAAAGTTTCTATGGGAAACGAACTTTCCACACAGACAAAGACGCGGGCACCAGCTAGAATCCTACTTCATAATACCTAAATGCGAAAGTACGAGTACGTATGTTTGAATGTTCCTTACTGGATCACGGATAAACTTCTCAACGGATTTAGATCAAAGGAGATTGCTCAAAATGGCCCAAACGCACAAAAAATATTGACATACACGGTAATTTTTGGCGAAATGTATAATTTAATTTACAGTCATTAGATTTCAACGGACACCTTTGTATAATATATATTAACTTTAAAAAGGACTTTTAATTTTACCGGTTTGGAAAACATACGAATCATTTTTAGTGGCTATGGGTGTAGTAACATTCAGCCAAAGACTGATCGAAGTTGTTTATATAACATAAAAACAAATCTATTTTGTAAAGAACGATAAAATAAATCATTTTTTTATTACACTATGGTATTAATATCCACAACTATATTATCATTTTCACTACATCCAAATGTGCTCAGACAATTATTATAGATGGTAGGCGACATAATAAAGTCTATTACCATACATTTTTCGCCAAACACCTCCATAAACACATTATAATCTGTATATATGTTAGACTTTAAGGTATCTATCTATGGGCCTACGTTGCCTGACTATAAATTAATAAATAAATAAAATTATAAGGTGTGATACACTAAAAATCTAAAATATGGTTATATTAAAAACATAACAAAAATAATAAAGCTACTGAATATATGGCTATATAACTTAAATCTCTTAGCTTTCTTTGGTTAACGAGAGTTTAAAAATTCTCTCTAATCTGTGGCTCATTCACAATCATCACACAGTTTCTGTCACAGAGTACCTTATTATAACCGGAAATGCATAGATGACACCTGATTTTATAAGTTACTCTTATGCATTAACTTTAAAAACAGGCAACTATCTGTTAATCTACATGCTCTATATACCTGAATCTAATCCATAATTTCGGTACTTGGCTTGATTTCCCTAGTTTACTATATAACTTATTTGTTTTTTTATTATTTTAATATGTTCAGTGTATATGGTTTATAGAAGTTCTCAGGAGTGTCCGTCAATAATATTCGTTGCTACCGTAATTTATATATAATTTCGAATCTAGGAAACAATTTTTCATGATTATTAGTCTTTAGGCCAAATATGTATGGAAGCTGAGCAATCTCCTTTGGGACAGACATAATTTATTGTCCGGATGAACACATAGAAAACTTTCATCCCAGAAAATATTAGGTTCCTGTTGATTTTCAAAAACTATTACGTTGACGAAGTCGTAGACACCCACTATTAGTAATACAGAAAGAATCAAAATGTACTCACACAATCATATGATAGAGGACTGCCTTCACCCCCCGCGGCCGTTCTAGAAAGTTGTAGAACTTGGACTGCAGGCGGCGGTAGCGCGCGTCGCGTCGCGTGGCGCGGTAGCTGAGCGGCTTGCCGAGCAGCGACATCCGCGGCGTCGCCAGACGGTCGCCGCCACTCTTACTCTCACTGCAACCAATGACAATCAATTATTTGTTATTATTCATTTATAAATTCAACAGTTAAATATTCGTTGGTGTATGACGTATTTTATGACGACAATGCCTTTAAACTAATGGTTCAATCAAATAATGCACATAAAAAACGGGAAAACTTGGCAATTCTGCCAAACACCCCCAATTTACACCAAAATTTGGATTTGGGCTTTACTTACCCTCTACTTTAAATTTGTTAATGTGCCGAAGCCTGCCATTTTCCTGGGGGTGGACGCCACCTCTTCTCGGGGATAAAACAAATGCTGATTAGAATTAGGCAGTCTATCGATTCCCATTCCTATTTTATTCCTATAATATTTTTCATCCACCTCCAGGGTATTAGCAACCCTCGGCACATTGACAAATTAGAGGGCCCACCAATCTTAGCTGCAGCTTCTACTTAAAAAGATAGCTACACATACAGCTAAATTTGGTGCTAATTAGAGCTGTTTGGTAAAATTGCTATGGAAAACCGTGCATTGATTGGACTATAACCATTAGGGAGGATGTTCTACGATGTACCTACAAGGCATATTCCCGACAGTATCACTCATCAAGAAAGAAAAGGAAGGTTTCATTTCAAAGTATGTACATTTTATTTACTTCGATTCATAACAAACAAAATTATTGATACTAAGGTACCTTAATAATATTTCACAAAAAGTAGACAATACCTGCACTCATAGCATTGTCAGTTATTTCGATTGATTTGTATTCTATCCTTTCTTGTTACTTCGCCAATTCTTTACCTTTAATCATCTCTCGCTTCGTCAGAGCTACAAATAAAATATGTATGTATGTTACCACTCGGTTTGATATTATCTATCAGATATTACTTCCATTATATAAAAAAAAATACTGATAAAATCGCAGTTCGTATTTTTTATAGACACTGAAGTATGTTATATTGCCATTGGTATACGTAGAACATTCAATACCTATCTTGGTAGATAAAAATTTATGGGTATTTATTTCGTCAAAAAAAAATTTATATCCACCCTTAAGGCCTTGACTGTATGTGAGAAGGACGAGATTCGTACTTGATCCGCTTGGCTCTTCAACAAAATCCGAAAGGCTCAACGGATGACTGTGGCCACTTTAAATTGAAAAGTTACTGGTGTAGAAAATGTGAATTTGTCTTACTTAGAATAGAAACTGTTTAATTATAACGAAATGTTTAAAGAATGTAGTACTGTACAAAGCATTTCGCAATATCATGTTATAAATAGAATAAGATGTATTAACAAAGAAGTATCCTAGGTCGCTAACGGTTCGTCAGTAATATTTCCAGTAAATATGCATCACGAATGACAACATTTTATAAAATGTCTACAATAAATTACAGATGTTCAATCGCTAGCACAAAGCTTTATTATTATAATTGCGATTCACGAAATCCGGCCCTCCTACGCTGCTATTATTTCCTACACGAAGATTATATTTAGAAGTATTGTGATGATTGCACGGTTTCTGGTTTCTGCGTTTCGACTGTTCAGCTTTGATGTGATAACGTTTTAAATATGTCGCCCGGTATATTCCATGTTTAAAGTACCTAAAATGTTGTTTCAATTTTATTTGACGTCGGAGATGAATATGTACACGGCTACGGTCCGTCGCGCCGTTCCCACATATTAAATAGGAAAACCAAATAACAAACGCTCTCCACAATTGAATTTTAGTGTACTGCTATTGTTCTCTGTGACGTTTATATATATGAAACAGGTGATTCAGCAGGACAGTGGTTTTGTGATAGTCCTGGTAAATCACGGTGACCGACTTACTCGCTGCGGCTAATTATAAACCGCAACGCGCATGTTGAAACATAAACTTTATGACGGACAGACTCCAAGAAAATTGTGTTAATTTGAGGTGGTAATTTAGTCGGAGAAAATGTTGTTGTTTAGGTTGTCTCATTGAATGAGTCACGGTTAGTAGTTGGCATTTCTCTTAACATTTCTTAAATAATTCATTTTATGTTTGTATAAAGAGTGGGGTACATTACTGACATAATCAAATTAAATTGTAAGATGACAAGATAATTATTAATAATTTTAAAATTAAGGCAATTTGTCTCGTTAATAATAGGAGAAATAATTGAACATAATATTATATAAGTATAAGTATAGCGTTTCAGTAATTGAGTGGAGCACGCAGTAAGTACTTACTCTTTATCTCAAGTGTCTGCGAGATATCAATCCCGGCGACACTTCGTTAAAATCAGGCGAAACGGATTTGATATTACCTTTTATTACGTGATACGAGTACAAATAAAAATCCTAATCTATACATGACATGACGAAACTATAAGGGTTCATTGTCAGAACTACGGAACCCTGAACAACAAACAAACTCTCCAACTTTATAATATTAGTAATCTTACATTGTATATCTTACTGCGTATTCGTGTAAAATATTAAGCAAAAGTAACGTCCCGGTACAAACTAAGTCACATTACTCGTACCCGGGTATTAATAATTCTTATCCAAACAAATTACTTCATATTCAAGACATTATATAGGTAGCTGATAGTCTTATTTTTTTTTTAATTACTTTTTGGATTAGACCAATCCCAAGTTTCATTCTATTCAAAAGTTATCATGAGTGCAATAATTTTGAGTGATAACAGTGATGGATTTATACAAATCACTGCATCATTAGATACGTTTAATAATAAGGGCATGGGCCAATGGCAAGGAGGTTAGTGACATTTATATATAACCTTTTTTGAACAACAGAGCATCGGTGCATTCGTTACAACGGGTCCCAAACTAGGCAACAAAATCTTCATTATCATATAAATGAAGAAAGTCATTGTCTGAGAACAAAAACTATAGTCTACACTATAGTTCTATACCGAAACGAAGAGAGGGCGGGCCATTAATGTAATTATAAATGTGTAAGTTTTTCTGTTTGTTACTCTATCACCAAAAAACTACTGAACGGATTTGGATGCAATTTGGTATGCATACAGTTTAAGACCTGGATTGAGACAAAGGATACATTTTATCCCGGAAAAATATTACGTTACTGAGACGACGAAGTCGCGGGTGGCCGCGAGTATAGAAATAATAATAAGTATATCAAAAAAGACTACCGGGCGGCACTGTAACGGGAAAATTTTACTGTTCTTAGAAAATTCCTTCATTCCAAAATTCCAAGAAGGGATGATAAGCAAATTAGAGGCGGCAAAAATTTTGCTATAAATATCGTATTTTGAAGAAAGCCGTTCTCTGGGGAGAGAGGAGTGCTAAAAGGCGGAAAAATTTGCCTTCGCTCGGTGGGACTAAGACCCACGCTGCTGATTATAGTTTAAAGCTGCTGCAAAAATTAATTTAAAACGGAACGCTTTAAAAAATTGCACATCCAGCCTAATATTCTTTAAAGTGTTGTCGATTTGACAAACTTTTAATGTATCCCGTCAATCTTTATTTTATTTTTCAGTCAAGAACCATCTGAGCTATTTTTTTCTTCTTATATAAATATAAAAAAATCAGAGAGCAGGTTGACAGTCTTATATTGAAATCTCAACACATACCGATTAGTAGGAGCATTAAATTCTTGTGAAAACAGGATTCGGTAGTTAAATAATGTTTGTTTATGTCTTCAAAAATACATATTCTTATTAAACATATCTACCAGTTTTGTTTACTGTGATTAAGTCATACTCGAATTGGTTGCGGTTTCACGTGTAAGTAGAGCTTCTCAAGTAGGTCACTGAGGGTTGTTGAAAGCAATAAAATAACATTGCGTCCGTGGAACTATCTACGGATTGTCCTTATCGCAGCTTCTTGTGATACTATCGTTCTTCACAACACACTAAATGGCATCGGACGGTGACTTGTTTTTGCAGAGTTGTGATTTTTCTTTTTTTTTTTACTTTCCTTGCATTTCATTTTCGAACCTGATGTTGAAGGGCGAATATTTGCATAATACCTAAATAATTTCATGTTTTCCACGATGCGATGGATTGAAGACTAAACTGGCTAGTAACATTACTTAAAAAAAAGAACTTTCATGCGTAACACACATACCTATACATTTAGGTGGGTTAATGTTATCAACGCGCTAAGAAAAAATTTGATTCACTAAAACAGAAAAAGTGATGATGAGTTTATGTTTTACTTTTCTTAAATAATATAATAGATCTAAATACGTAAACAAATCTTTACTTTCAAATATTAATTCTTAACAAACCAGTTGATCTTTGTCAGCTAATCTATTTACTGGGATAAGTTTTTTCGTTCGTCTTCCAACAAACGCTGACCAACCATGTATAATGCTGGGCGAATTTACCAAATAAACCAGCCACTATGACAACTTACGTACGGAAAACGAAATGGTTGCAGCAATAAACCAGTCAGCAGCGACAAAACATCCCCATTCATGGATATTTACAAACCGCACCGTTTCACGTGAGATCCAATTCTATTTCTTGTGACATAATTAAGTACGCGCTTGTAACGTGATAGCAATTTTCATCTCACTTTTTATAGGTAGGTTTTGTTAAATAACATACGGATTTTGTCGTATTTACATACAACATAATTTAGACAAAAAAAACTTTTACTATGTATACTAAATAAAGAATCTTAGTAAGTGATATCTGTTACAGAAATTAAGTATTTCATGAAAATCGTCCGCTAAAAGTGGTACATAAAATGGTCAGCGTAAGTTTGTACCTATAGGAATTCGTCATTCTGTACTTAAAGGAGTTAAAATGTACATTTAGCTATTAAAATAAGTATATATACATCTTTCAATATTATCTTATCAAATAACATGAAGATATAAGACCTTTAGAACAAATGTTTATGAGTCCTAATAGTGACATTTATATACCAAGTAATTGTTGTTGTTTATGGTCCGCGTCCACGAAAGGTCATTCTTTCACTGACTGCGATGATTGAGAAATCTTAAAAACCACTGCCTATAAAGATAACATTTGGTACGAATGTAGATTTATTATAAGCAGAA